CTTCCTTTCCGAGGTGCCCTGCTCTTGGGGAAATCCTCTGCAAAAGGCTCAGCCCGCTCTGCATGCCCTCTTTCCTCTGTCCTTCCTCCCACAACTCTTCCAAATCCCTGTGAATTACATGACCTTCTGCTCTTCTGGGCAACTGCACACGTCCATACCTTCATTGAGTAAAGCATTCCTCCTCTGTCCTGCCCAGCAGCTCAGGAGACAAAATATGGAATCGTGCTGCTTTGAAAAACACTCACCTGCTTAATCCCACCAATCCCACTCTGCTCCTGCTCTGGTAGCAAATGTAGCTCTTCACTAGTACCCTCTCCAGCCCCTCTTCGCCACTAAACTTTGTCCACGGCAATACCCTTTTCAAGCTGCAAGATCAATTTTGCTGATAAAAAAACAGCTTGGGTGGCTTGGGGAACAGTTTGAGTGATATTATACACAAAACATCCTTTTGGCAAGAGAAGAAATTATCCAGCTGCCAGCCAGATTGCGACTGTTTCGTAACCTCGCTGTAATTACCTTCAGATCACTCACACTAAAAGTTCGGTCCTGCTTGCCTTAAGCTGCAGAATTGCTCATATTGCTGTCACTTCTACCCTGTACACCAGACAGAGCAGTCACTTCATTTTGCATTTCACACTTCACACAAAGCCAGTGTTTACCAAACACTGTTTGGCTTCTCATGCAGCTGAGCACTCCCATGTTCCTGCTCTCCCACCACATCCCACACCCACACAGCAAGTCCCCCAGGAAACAACATGAGACAGTTTTCTAGCTCTAGAAGTGTTTGCTGGAGTGTGCAGAGATGCAGGTTGTACAGCTCTGGCTTTGGTGATTTTAAGACAACTGGCCCTGGCCTTTCATCAAAGGTGAACATTACTCTGCAGCRTAATCCTCTYGGTTGCTTCCAGGTTATCCGGTGCAGGGCTGCTGTTGCCTGGGCCCCCCGCCAACCGCTCTCTGTTGAGGAGGTGGAAGTTGCACCTCCAAAGGCAGGGGAAGTCCGGATTAAGGTATTAACACGTTTTATTAATTTTTTCTYCCTTGTGGGAACTGCTCTTCTTGCGGCTGTACCTTGGATATAACTCAGGGACCTGTGTTCACTCATGGGCCTTAACTGTCCTGAGAAGTTCTGTGGAAAATCCTTCCACAAACTGAGATCAATGAAGGCTGGACTATTTTTAAAAATCACAATCTGCTCTTTCCTCTCRAAACAGATTGTGGCCACAGGCATCTGTCACTCAGATGAACACATTTTGAAAGGTTCCTTGCTTAATGTGGAATTCCCAGTTATCCTAGGCCATGAAGGAGCTGGGATTGTGGAAAGCATTGGAGAAGGAGTGACCTCTGTGAAACCAGGTAAGCAATACACTCAAACACAAGCCCAGGATTCAGGCTGCAAAACTCTGCCAGGGGCTCAGAAACTTCCCTCTGCTCCTGAGTCAGTGCTTCAAAACCTGACTGCACATTCACTGCACTGGACTCTCACATCCACTTTCCTGGTCTGTTCCTCGATGGGGCTTAGAGCATGTCACCTTCACAGGGAAGGCAGAGGGCTCATGGTAGGTGCTGCCATTGGAAAGCTCAGGAGAGGTGATTCAAGAGGCAGCACCTCTGGGGCACCTCTGGAGCAAAAGACACCTAACAGGGAACCACTTTGTTGCAGGAGACAAAGTCATCCCACTTTGCATCCCTCAGTGTGGGAAATGCAGCTTCTGCCTGAATCCTGAATCCAACCTCTGCCAGAAGTTCCAGTGAGTTTGCTTTGCCCCCCCAACCTGCATGGTGTTGACATTATGGCAAGCCTGAGACCCCCATCTGTGTTTCAGTCAATGAAATACAAATTTTTGCATCCCCTACAGTCTTTGTGAATCACAAAACCTGCTGCCAGACAAGACCAGCCGCTTCTCTTGCAAAGGGAAGCAGATCCACCACTTCCTGTGGGTCAGCACCTTTGCAGAATACACCGTGGTCCCAGAGTACGC